CAAGGCACTAAAAGAGTAAGGCCAAATGACTGTAGCAGGGTCTTCACTTTAAGGAAGAGAACAAGAGTATCTTAATACTTCACTTCCAGTGCATTTCTGGTCATAGAAGCTAGTTACCGGCAACATCATAAAACTTCTACAAACCGTCTCTATTGGGTTTGGTCCATGACAAGATACATTCAATCTCTCCCATGTAAATAATGTTCATAATTTTATATTAATATTTTTAAGTAACAGAACTTTCCCTTGTATAAGCTCAGATTTTGATGAGTGAATTTTTGCATTCATTACTAAAGCCAAAGTACATTAGACGACTCTAAGATATTTTTTTTTGCAATTGTATTAATGTAAAATAACTTTTACAACTTCTTTTCTTAAAAAACGTTTAAGCTCTAGAAACAATATTGTTCAATAACATACTGTCATAGTCTTTTTTCAGGCTTAAATTCATTTAATAGGGTTTTTTTGTCTTTTTTCTTTGATAAATTGTATTTCACTGTGCAGCAGTTTAAATAAGCTCAAGATTAAATCTGGCTATTTAGAATTTTACTGTAAAAACTGTGTTGTGTATGAATGCACTTTGCCATTATGCCATAATACAAAACAACAGGCCAAATTTTGCTACTCAGAGGCAGACGCCAGCTTAAACAAACTGATCCAAACCTTGTATAAGCAAGCTTTTCTTATGTCAACTAAGAACAAGATCCAAGTTAAAGCAAAGAAAGCCTGCACCGATTTAACAAATGCAGTTTATGTTCACCTTTAACTGAACCACTGTGAAAACAATACTGAAAATTTGAAGATCTAAACAGCTTAGGTGCCTGATCCTCTGAGGTTAGACAGACACTGGGCAACCTTCAAGCTCCAAGCCTAAAAGGTTATTTATATAATTTATTACACCTGAGGCAAACTCTTCTGGTGAAGGTCTTATTTCAGTATACATGTATCACTAATTATCAGTGTGCTTCTACATACATCCTAAAACTATCTTCTGCTTCTATAACTGTGTATATAAACTTGCAATTTTTCAAATAAATCTGTGACCTGTATGTAAAACATATGGAAAGTCCTTAATGAACACGAATACATTCACTGCACTATCTGTAACACATATTTTGAAGAAAAATTAGCAAAGAAGTTGCTAGCTAAACTTTCAATTCACAAGTAGAATTTGGCATGGATTACCAATCAACTCTAAAAAAGGTGCTTCCTTCAGTGAAGGAAGTTCATCATGCAGATTAATCCATCTGTACTTTAGCTCCATGATAAACTTCAGAATTTCCTCTGCCTTAAAGCTGCTGTCCAGCTTATCCAAACTTCTACAAAGGTTTAACTAAAATAAGGCTGTTCCATTGTATAAACACCCCATGTAAATTTGCACATTATGCACTAGGAGTCTAAGTAAAACAAACCCAGACTAAGTATTATTCACTTAAAACCATGGGTATACATTTCTCATTGATTCATTATTCAGACAAGGGCCATCCTCACCTGACTAAACACTCACAGGAGGTATAAACCCGTGTAAGGAAGCAGAGCTGCATTCAATGCAATGTCGAGTTCCCAGAATTTTTTTCTCATTTTTTGTGCTATAGTGTTCTGAGCTAACAGCTCAGCCAGAGCATTGTAAGAAGTTTACCATTAAACAGTAAATTACAGGGGTTATGTATCTGAGCTAAGAAACAAAAAAGCAGAACAACATTGATCTTCAATCATTCATAAAAATAAGCTTTTCCTAAATTATGAAAAGACAAGAATATCAATCTGAGTTTGAACAAAGGGAAGATGGTAACAGAAAAAATCCACTTAAATTACAACAGCGAGGCAGTACGAAAGTAAGATGTATCAAGTTGAACATCAGTACATGATGAAACAAGGAGAAAGAGCTTCTTTCTAGGCCAAGTTTAAAGCTTCAAGCTTAGGGACGTATGCTACCAAATCCATAATTTCCAACCATGAAATTACAGAGACTAGTGTTGCCACTGCTGTTTTTCAAACTACATTAAGCTATTTGCCTCGCTAATCTCTGGAAGCAGAAACTTTCATAGCTTCCTCTACCCATAATTTTAAAAAGTCTCATGCATCTCTTTTATGGTTAATTTGAATTTCTTTAAGTCAACAAGGAAAAATTTTTGGTGGTTTTCCATACAATTCAAGGATTTATTCTTCGCCATCTCTGTACAAATATTGTTCACAAAAAGAAGCTCCAAAGTCTACCTCATCTCCATTCCTCAAATTAAATAAACACTGTGCTGAAGGGAACCATGAAGGTTAACTACTCAAACAGCTCCCATACCTTGATTAACAGAAACCTAACAGAAACCTGTCTAACTCAAGTTCCTTTAGAATAAGAAAATCAGTCCTAATGCTTATCTAACTATTCTTTTCCTGCAAAGTATACCCTGTAGTCTTGTTCTGGTCACTGAAAATATGTGTCAAAAGTACAGAGGAAGAAAACAAGCTCCCAGCTTTGTCTTCTCTCAACCAAACAACCTTAATTCTTTCAGTCTTTCCCTGTCAGTCTTATTTTCTGTTCTTTTCATGATTAGGCTAGCTTTCTTTAAATAATCTTTTAAGTGTGATGTCCTAAGACAAGTACTCTCTGTGTCATAATTTTAGTATCAAGTGAGATGTAAGGATTACCACACTGTTTATGACTTCTTTTTCACCATCTTGTTTTATTGAGATAAATAAAATTGTTAATCGATGTGGGTGACCCATACGAACACTTCATTCCTTTCCTGCATCACTGCTGCCTAGAAGTGACTCTCTATATCTTGAATTGTGTATTTACTTATTCACAACTAGGAATACTACTTTCATTTGTCCTAATTTCTTAAATCATTTTGTTAAGGACAATTTGAATATAAGTCAGTCTTTTGAGGTACAATACAGTTCCTTGTAACATCACTGTGTTAGCTTGTATTCCAACTTCCAGAATTCATTCATTTGTCTTTCTCTGAATTATTATAATGAACTTCGAATTTCTACATTAATAGTGGATCGGATAACTTACATAAAGCAAAACTAAGTAAGGCAGACTAGCAAATGAAACTACAATATACTGTATCTAGCATAATTATTTTTTCAAATTAATTTAAATGGAAAACAAGGTCCATTAAAGCAAAAGGGAAAAAAAAAAACAGAGAAGGGACAATGTCGTGTGCCATGGATGATATCTAGCAGCCTAGATCTGCTCAGTGATAATAAAGGCTTGACTCTGATGAAGCTATACCATGATTTGTCACTACCAGTTACATTCTTCACTGTCTGCATCCCATTTTATGTCCAAGTCTTTCAAAATTCTATCCCTACAAATTTAGACTATCCTCTTTTAGTCATCTTTCACAATATCACACCTTTCTGCCTTCTGTGTAATTCATTTTTGAGAATCAGACAACCAAAGGGGTTGCAGCTTAGTCAAGATAGTCTCTGATTAGGTTTCTTACCTATCTTATATAACAACTGTTGGAAATCTTGGCACTCTTTCATTAAGAAACTTCCAATTTCTGTAAAATGGTTCTTCCTTAGACCTTTATGCCTATCTGTTCCCCAGACTTTGCTGCCATGATTGTGTTCTCTCCTTCCGTTCCTCCCCATCTTAGCTTTATATTCTTCCACCCCAGTAACAGAAGGCTACATCTCATGCAATCCGACAAATTAAAAATTTGCATATAAACCTATGTATATTAAAATCACCTTCACAGGCAGCAATATCTTTTCACTGCACCTCTGCAGAAAAAGAAGGGTGTGAAGGATACCACCATCATCCCCATTCTACGTGCACAAAAACTCAATCTAAAAAGTGAAGAGAGATGGTTTCACAGCACATGTCAAATCACTGGCAGAGCCAGGATTCACTCATGTCTTTTGCAGTCCTATACAATACCAAACTTGCATGAAACTTCCAGTTTAGATTAAAAAAAAAAATTCTACTACACAAGCCTACCCTGCTTCCTTGATAGAGGTGTACAGTTTCAGTTTTGTTAGAACTAAAATAGAGGCTTACCTTTGGATGACTTCCCATTCTTAAAGTTGCAGGGTTTTTTAACTGTTTCATCTTTATCATACAACGGCAAAAGTAATTACAAAAGGGAAACCAACTGAAGGCTAGCTGCACAAAAAGTCTCACAAGTAAAACAGACACTATATTGGACATGAACTCTTTCCACAAGTTTCTTCTAGAATAAGTCAATAGATCTTCAGAATAGAAAAGATCTGGCAACCTAACGTACTAGAATGATTTGAAACATTTTTGAAAACTAGTGTTCATCTTCTCTGTTCAACACAAGACTACCAGATGAGATCAAAAGAATCATCTAGCCCAAGATACTGCTGTAAAAATGCCCAATGGTGGATGTGTACTACTACATAATGCTTTTGTCACTTCAACTTCAGAAAAAATTGACCAAAATCACAAAACACAGAACTACTACTACTTTCACATGGACTTCAACGTATGTTGATACATACAGAACACACAAAGAAACGATTCCTCTGCCCTGTTATTTTTCTTTCCACCCTGGTATTTCAAAAACCCATTAAAAAGTACACAGTTCATGTATAAATTACGCAAAATTGGCCTCCAAAATTTAATCAGAGACAAACAGCATAAGCTGCTAGCTTTAAAGAGCAAGTTAGTCATCAATTATTTAATATAACCTATTTAAATAATGACACTGACACAACATAGAGACATACAGAATTATTTTTATACAACTGTACAAAGAAACACGGGAGGGAGGAAGAAAGAAAACCCCAAGAAACTAATTTAATTTTGGATAGAAAAATTTATTAAGTATAAAAAAGGCACACCCAAGACAATGCTTTTGACAGAAGTACCTTAAATACCCCCATAGGCACACCTTTTACTCTAGAATTCAATACTACAGTCATTATTCAGCACACTCACATCAGCAAATTCCAGTCTATTGCCACACATTCAATCTCTAATACTATAAACTGTTAATTCATGAACTTACTCAGGAACTACAACTCACCATCTGAAATTCGGGAAGGGAGTAGCAGTCCTCTTCTGCCCAATTCAGCCAGAGCCAGGCATCCACCATGCCATGCATTGTCTGTTTCCTGGAAACTAATTTTAGAACAAAGACAAGTTTTGTTAAGACCAGCCTTCTCTTTTTGGATTTCATCTTTCATGGTGAATTCTCAACATGTTAAAAGACACATAATCCAAACCAGTATGCGTTTATTGTGTTATTAATCCTGTTACGACTTCTAAAATATAAGAATGACAAGCTGAACGTGTTTTCTTTCCAATTTTGTGCAACAAGTACTGCTATAAACATGATCAAACAAGCAAAAAACGCATTTATCAATATAAATGTAGCCTCAGTACAGAAGAGCACAATACCTAAAACTCATCCAGAAAAAGAAAATAACTTTCCAGTACACTGGCAAAAGATGCAGATTTACAGAACATACCCAAAATAATTAATGAATTTAGTGCCAAACACAGTCCTTAAATAGCAAAAGAGGTTCAAGTGATAGTTTCCAATAAACACATTATATGAGCTTACGCAGTGAGCAAACAGTGGTGTTTATCCACCTTAGAAAAACATAAACCAAAACAGAGCAACTTATAGTGAACACATTAAAAAAAAAAAAAATCAAAAACGATTGACAAATTTTGGTGTACTGGCAGATAAAGCAGTGAAAATGGGAAAGGTTGCACACTGCATGACTAAATATGCAAAAAGTTCATTTTGTCTTAAACTAGGAACAGGAATCCAAAAATAAGAATAATCATAGAATCACAGAATGGTTTGGGTTGGAAGGGACCTCAAAGATCATCTAGTTCCACCCCCCCTGCCATGGCAGGGAGACCTCCCACTAGACCAGGTTGCTCAAGGCTCCATCCAACCTGGTCTTGAACACTTCCAGGGATGGAGCACCAACAACTTCCTCAGGCAACCTGTTCCAGTGTCTCACCACCCTCAGGGTGAGGAACTTCTTTGTATCTAGTCTAAACCTGCCCCCTCCCAGCTTCCAACCACCACCCCTCATCCTGTCACTGCAGGCCCTTGTAAAAAGTCCCTCCCCAGCCTTTTTGTAGGCCCCTTTCAGGTTCAACATATAAAACGTGATGGACAAAGCTTCATCTCGCCCACTATCCTGTCTCTGACGTGGACCAATAGCAGACGCTTGGCCAAAGACAAAGCATAAAGGATCACTCCCTTATTAGCCTCCTCCTAGCTTTGTCGATCAGCAGTACAGAGACTTCCCAAGGCAGAGATTGCAGCCAGAATGTCATGTTTAATAACCTCTGATTAATAACCCTTTTGGCTTCCATAACGTCCTCTGGCAATGACTTCCACAGTTTAATTATAACTGCGTGAAAATGGACTTCCTGATGCTTCCCAGTTCTGGGAGTATGAGAAAGAGTGAATAGTAAACCATTACTCGCTTTCCCTCTTTTTTCATATTTAGGAACTCATGTATCTCCATTATATCCCTCTACTTTTCCTTTCCAGTTGGAGGAATTCCCACCAGTTAAATCACTTTTCACCCATTCAGTTTTGTTCTCTCTTCCTTTCCTAATAACATTTAATGTGCCATTTGCGTTCTTTTTTCTGACAGCTGCTGAGCACTCCACTGACATTCTGACAGAACTATCAGGGAATTCAAGATCTCTTTCCTGAGTAGAAGTAACTGTTTTACAGCTAGCTGCATTTTTCCCTAAGTGCATTAGTTCGCATTCATTAGACATTATATTTCACATGTCATTTACTGTCTAGTTACTTAACTTAGGCTTATATAACATTTTGGTTTCTGTCATTGTTACTTTTCAATACGTTAGCTAAATTTAAATCATCGATTGATTTCCTCACCCCTCTGTTCACCTTTTTTCCAGGATCCTTTATGAGTATGTTGAACAGCACAGGGCTCATACAGATCCCCGCGGGATTGCGCTGATAATCTCACTACATTGTGAAAAATGACCACTTACTTCTGCCCTGTCTCCTGTCTTTTAATCTATCTATGTATAAGAAATCCTTTCTTCTTATCCCAAGAGATATAAAAAAGTGCCTCTGATGAGCAACTGACATTTTTATTTTGGTCACTAGATATTCAATGCAAAGAATACAGAAGATATTCCTTTTGTCCTAGTCTACTGCCCAGGTGTTTCTGAAGAAAGCAGGTCACTCAATTACTAGTTGGATTACTCATCCCTGTGACTTGAAAAACAAGGAAAGAAAACACACTGAGTACAGGTCTTTGAAGCTCCAGGGATAACTGACATCAGCAGCACCTCTCACAGTAATCACAGTAACACAGTAGAAGTATTGGCTAAGTAGATTGCATGTTTTTTAAGACTTTTTACCCCTTTTTTTTTATAATGTGTTGTCCTTTGAGCTGGTATTTTTAATTTGTACTCACAATCAATATGCAAAGATTTTTTAAAACTGAGTGTATCTGAGTGACAAACTGAATGTTATTTTTTGCCAATAATAATTTTTTTATTTGTTATTAGCTTACTCTAAAACACCGGTTTAGATCTTAAAGCTCAAGTACTCAATGTAGACCTGATGAGCGATTTGATATTAAAAAAAGCATATGATACTTGTTTAATAATTTAGACCTTTACAAGCTCTACAGAGATGCAGAAAAAAGACATCCAACATAAAGCACATCAAAAGAACATCCTAGCAGCTCTATGTGATCAAACTGAAGTTTCAGCTAGCCCCAAAGCCTCTCTCTGACAGGGCCAACAGCACATGCCTTAGGTATAGTATGAAAACAAGCACACTGCAACACTCTCTAAACTACTTCCAGACTCCGGCAGATGGTGGACAGGTTTGCGGAAAAGAAAAATGATTTTTGTTCAGGTATATAGTCTTAGCATCCACAACACCCTGCAGCAAGAAGCTTTTACAGCTTAACTATGTGCTGTGTGAATAACCACCACCTTTTCTTTATTCCAAACCTGCCACCTGCTACTTTAGCTCGCTTCTAATAATACAAAATCTAGAGGGCAATCATCTCCATGCCATTCACAATTTCATAAACCTCTATTATACCTCATTTATTCCTCATTCTTCCCAGATGTTTTAGCCTCCTCTCACACAGAGATTGCTTCTTACTGCTGGTGATCCTCACAACTCTTTTGAATATCATTTCCAGTTCTACTATGTTTCTGATGATGCACACAACACTCAAGACACGAGCACACCAGGATTTTTTAAAGAAGCAAGTTAATGAGCATTTTTTATTTTTATTTTTCCAAAGTTCAACTTCAGTCCTTCCATATTACTTTCAAATGGGGTCAAGATGAAGGATCAGGAATAATTTCTTTATTGAACACCCTTAGCATATCCATGCCTTAGGAGATTTTGAAATCTGAGAGAAGAAGGGCAACAAAATTTACACGTTTTTAGACCTGTCTTCCTAACTGTTGTCCTCCCGTTTCATAAGCAGACATGTTTCAGATACATGTAAAGCATGAAATAAGATTTTTACCTAAAACAGTCCAACAGAGACCCAATCACGTCGTCTGCTAATTCTTTTGGAAGTCTTCCAGTTATTCTACCAATTCTACAGAAGTTAAAAGAAAAAAAAAAACAGCATATAGTGATTCATTGGTACTGCATTTGATGAATAAGTCCTATAAAAAATTTAGCTACTGGAAACTTACAATAAGATGACTGACTTCACGATGACAATGCACTACCCAAACACCATTACGCTAGAATCACAATCTCAAACTTGAAGCAAAAGCTACACAGTAGTAAACTTAACACAGAAATACAGATTTTTAAGTGGAAGAGAAAAAAAACATTTTGAAGAAATGTTACTTTACACCCTTCAAATCAAGTCTCATCCCAAATGTTTATTTCCAAACCTATTTGAAATTTTCCTGAAGACTAGCTCAATTTCATACCAGAAAAAGACACAAACATGGCTTATTCCACCAGCTGTGCTAAAGCCATTTGAAGTAACTGTGAATATTGACAGTACACACAAATTATTAATCATGCATTACCTCAGACTGTACTTTTATGTTGTTTACTTTAGTTATTAGAGTAACCATAAGAAACGTACCCTTTTGCTGCAGACCACCTGACAATAGTGTCTTTGTCTTTCAGTCCAACCAACAATTGCTCTGCAGATAATTTTATTTAAACAAAACAGATTATTCTCATTTAAAAACAGAAAGATTTCTCAAAATGTTCAAAATTCATTTTCCTCTTAACATTACTGTCTCTTATTTTAAATAAAAATATTTCTATCTAGATTTTTGCTATTTGTCACACACGTACGACTTGAAATCAAAGAAACAAGAAAGATGTTAAAATCATTTTCTAAAAGAGAAAATTTGGTTTGAAATTTCAAACACTGGGGAAGATTCAAAACGGAGGCCGCGATGCTTTTTCAGTGGTTCATTGGATTATTCAGGTACAAAAGTTTTCTGATGCAATTTTTGCCTATTTATTTACAGCATATCCACCAGCAAGCTAGCAGAGGACCTGCTGTGTGACTGCATCCTAATTAAAAAAATGTTCCCTTGATACTACCACAGCTTAAAAATGTCAACTATAATTCTTTAGCTTTCATGTAACACAATTTTTTGTTTTGTTTTTCATTATGAAGTTTAATTCATCCTTCCATCTGTGGAAGGTTCAAGTTATCTCATTCATTTTACTGGATAAAATTGGTAAAAGGTATTTCAATAACTCCATCCCCCAACCCCACAGCAAATGCTCTAGTATTGAGTTTCTGCCTGAGATGCCGAAATCCAAATCATTTGACAAAAATACAGTATATTTTAGTCAGTTGCATAAACTGAAATTTTATCATCTTTCCAATTGTTCACATTAGCACAGATACCTACGTGACTCTCTTGGCCCTAAGCAAGTTGTTTCTCGATATATGTTTAATGTGCAGGCATTGCAATAATTTATGTCCAGTTTTAACACACCTACAACATTTTCAATCTCTCCTGGAATGTCATATTCCTCTTCATCATCAGCTTCATTAGCAGCAACGGTTATCATCTGCTTCTGCACAACTGAACCCTGAGCTTGCAGATTGGCAGCCAGAGATCGACAGCCACGCTGGTATCTGCACAAGAAACAGACAGTTAATTTATTTTTCTGATTTAAGTTCCAACTGAAACAGGCGCATACTGTCATAAAGCCTGCTTGTCAACTTACTACACCTCCCAGCACACAGCTCTCCAGTTATTTAGTGGTGGCTTTAAAGGAAAGGGAAACGTATCCCATTCTCCTTCCTCCTGACCCAGTTGTCTCTTTTCCAAGGTGAGAAGAGCTAGACTATTTAAATGGTTCCTTTTCATTATCTCTCCCTTTGCTGTTTCAGTATAACCTACTTTCCACTGCTGACAACGGAGGCAAAATTCCCATGCCCTAAAAACCTCTCCAAAACCTAAAAAAAAATTAATAAAATCAACTTATTAAAAATTGTTTTTTAAATGTTAAAGCTAGCTTAGTACTTTCTGACCAAACAGTACTCAGATATTTAGCCTGTGGTGTAGATACCTTCTTGGAAAAGATATACTTTACATGCTAAACTGACTTTTGCCATTGGGCAAGGTACACTCTCCACCTAAAAAGAATTTTCTATGCCTAAGGACGTTCTCAAAAGTTGGTAAAAGAAACACAATAAAAATAGTCACCAAGGGAGACTGCAATTTTAAAATATCAGTGCGAGAAATCTAAAAAAGAGTTTGCCCTCTGGCAATACGTAAAACCAGACACCAAAACCTGACTAATATGCAAAACGAAAGTGGGATTGCAAACCACTTTTCCCCTGTGAACTTTCTATCGGATCAGGGTAGAACTATGTAATGGAAAAAGTTATGTTCACTCTTACAAAATTGTACTAAATCAACTTCAGTACAAAGGTCACTGTCTTCCCATCTTTACCAAGTTAGGCATTACACAGGAACAGGCTTCTGCTTGTGTAACGTGCAACATGAAAAGTCTAAAGACTTGGCTGGTCACAGCACTAGTTTACTACAACGAAATTGAAAAAAAATACAGGAAACTAAATACAGCAGAAGAAATCTACTTTTTCCAAATAGTGCAAATGAAGAATGTGTTCATTCCCAAACAACAGGGGGATTTCTTTCTCTTTTCAGGGAGGTTAGGAGGGCAGAAGGCCAGTAGTCAAATGTATGGATTTTTGTATGGATTTACCTATAGATTTAGGTATTTTTAAGTTTTTTGAGTGCTTTTGGATTTATTTTTTTTAAACCGTTTCGGCTTTAAACTAACCTCCATTTTGCTACCTTCGGTTTCACAAATGTCAGTCCAAGTCGTTGAACGAGTTTCATCCCTAGCTTGCGAAGAACCATATCATTACTTTCTGACAGCCTGCAGTTATCGAGACACTCAAGTACAGTAGCAGCTGTAAAAGAAAATAAACACACTAGAAAAACTGTTTTAAAAAAATTCTCAGTAAGAAAATTTTGTAAAGTTTTGAAAGTTCTTTAGAAGATTTAGATTTTTAAAGGTATTACCAAAATGCAAATGGCTTATTACCAACTTTGCAGTCACTCTGACACTGGTCAAATACTGGTAATATCCTTCACCTACCAAACAGTAAGGATTGCTTTAAGGATTACTTTTGACTATGAAAATTACAATTAATCTAGATTCTGAGAGTATTTATGCCTCTAATTCTCATTGGAAGTTACATGTTCAAGTATCTTTTGAGGTCTAAGAATTTTCAGGAGTCAGAAATCTAATTCATGTACTCTGCAGCCAGTTTCTGCATACATTCCCTCTCCTCATTTATTACTTTCAGGCAGCACCAACTTAACTCCTCTGGCACAGAAATTTTTGTGATGATGAATGCCCATAAACATTTAGACATGAGAAATAGTGTGTATGTGTAAACAATTAACAACAAAACCTTTCATTTGGGCACTTCAAAGGTAACAAAGTTATTTGTCCAGCAAAGTAAAAAAAAAAAAAAAAAAAAAAGTCAGACTAAAGGAGAATCTCGGATTAACGAGTATAAAGTTCCAGGATTCAAAATCTTCACAAGGAACACATCTGAGGTCCCTTCCAACCCCTAACATTCTGTGATTCTTGCTACAAACAAAATAGTCCTTTGCACTTTCATCCTGAAACAATTCATGATTGTTTCAAAGGCTGATCATTAGTCAATGGAGACTAACAACTCAGGCTCTGAAGGACCTATCATTCCT